GTATCCAAATGGGTTCCTGTATTTAAAGCTGAAATTATTTTAAGACTTTACAGGAAAATTTTTTCTTAAAGAATAACCTCTTCATATTAATGCTATTAGAAGTAATCAAATTGTATTAATTATTTATTAAAACAGAAATGTGATTTAATATCTTTTTTTTTTGTTTAAAAAAAAATTCTATTAATTAGGTAGGTGATTATCTTGTAAACTAATATCAACCAAAATGAAAATATTAAGTTTTATTACAATCTCATTTAGCAATAATATTATTAATCAAAAAGTTGTTTATAAATTCCTCTTGATAGTTCTAGTACTTAAATACTAAATAATAAATTAAGAACAAATAATACACATATCCTGCTAAAAACTCATTTTAAAAAATTTTTTTTTTGAATTTATATAATTTATATATAATTTATTAATTTTTCTAAAATAGAAATGAATTTTTTTATTATTACATTGATTACATTATAATTATATAGTACACACAAAAATACAAAATTAATGATGAATAAAGTAAAATAAAACTTTAAAGTCCATCCATCAAATTAAATGAAAATTAAATCAAAAATAAAAATAATTAAATACATTCATTCTAATTAGTAAAATAAATAAATGAAATAAAAAAAAACAGAACCCGACGGAAAGCTAATGTATTTAGTGTACATTCAATAAGAATATAGATAATTAAATTGAAATATTATCACAAGGAATATAAAATGATATAATTTAAACAAATTATTATTATTATTCTAGTAACAAGATTTAATGAGATAAATTTTAAATTTTATTATTTTATTAGGGAAATGTACGGTTAGTCTGTATAAAAAGTATTGTCATTTGATGCTTAGTAGTAAACAATATGTTGTAAATAAGTTTTATTTTTCCTCTAACTAATATATATATGACTTACGTTGATATAACATGAATTTTATGTGACACTGAGACATGTTCCGTATCCTGCTTTATCGCCACGTAATCTCTTTGTGAATTAATCCCTGATAAACCCTTAGAGAAATTTACTGGAACAATAATAGCTTCTTATTCTTTCAAAATAAATAGTAGATATAATTCTAAATTTATTATGGACTATTGCCAACCTAATTTTTTTATTCCAATTAATGCTGATAATTATAAACTTCAAACGATTATATGACACATTTTGCTTAATATTACTTAATATTTATTAGCGAAATTGTTTTTTGTTAAATAATATGGTGCAAATATAAAATTTACAGTAATTTTCTCTATCTTTGACCATTCAATAAAAAAGGACTCATACTTCTAGTAGGATGTAATTATTAGATGAGAAATACAGTTTATTTTTATATTTTATACATTTTGCTATGCTTGCTTTAATATAACTAAATATGACTAATAATAAAATCCCCAAATTCGTATCCAAAAATCAAAATTTACCCCTTTTTATAATATCTTAAGTTACTTTCTCCAAGAAACATTTTACCCTTTTTCAACTCAAAACTATAAAATTTTAAATTCTCCAAATTTCATACTCAATCAAACTGCACACTTTGGAACTTTATCGTTTTTCATGTTTTTGAAATTTTGAATTTTTCCTTCTTTTGACCTTCAAATTTCCTTCTTAATATGTAAGTACTCTGATTATAGTTCCCTTCCCAAATCTAATTATAGATTTACTCAAATCACATGTTATTTAGTTTAACGTTATCTCGGACGTTACATTTATAACGTCATACAATTTTAAACTACTACGCTAATTCTAAATATAATACTGCGCCTCATAATTAATAAATTTACTAGGTATACTACGGAATTACACCAGGATGATCAACTGATCAGCGGCTAAATTTATATGATCTTATGAATTTAAACAATTTTTTTTCAGTCGCCTTTTATATTATTTAGTAATTTTATCAATTTGAATTCATTTGTGGTAATAGATTCTTTTATTAAAAGTATCAAGAAGCTAATTAAGTCATCGAATGTTAATGAATTAAATAAAATATGTGAAGAATGTAATTACACGTGTAATGCAGTACTTTTCCAACATGGAAATTGGACTAGTGGTAATGATGATATTGATAAATTTATTCAAGAAACTCAGTTGTCAGCTCATAATATTGCAAAATCAGCATTAGAATGGATACGTTTTAATAGATTTAATAACACTATAAAAAGTAGATTTGGCGAAACATATAGAGCAAATTGGATTGATGGATATATATTTATGAATGGAATGATTAAAATCAAAATTGGAATAGACGGCGTCATAACGTACTTGTAACTCTTAAAAGTTTAAAAGATATTAAATTAAAATTTATGGATGAAGTATATCTAATTTATTAAATGAATTTTAAAATTTGCACTTTTGCTAATGTAAACTATATTTGTAGATCAATGAATCTTATGGAATAACTCAAAATCCAGAAACAAATAATTATATGATGGTTCTGAATGATAGATGTAAAAAATGTAATTGTACATGTAATGCAATTTATTTTCAACCAAAATTTTGTAAACTGGACTAGTGGTAATAAAATAATATTGATAAATTTATTCAAGATACTCAGCTATTGGCTCATGTTAGATATAAAGTATTTAAAACAGTATTAGAATGGATACCTTATGATAGGTTATAAGATATTAAATACATTACAAAAGGAGGGTTTGGCAAAGTGTATAGAGCAAATTGGGTTGATGGTTATATAGATAAATTGGATTTCAATAATAAAAATTGGAAAAGAAATAATAAAAACAAGTTTGTGGCACTAAAAAGTTTAGATAATTCAAAAAATGTCACATTGGAATTCATGAATGAGGTATATTAACTTTATTAATTAAATTTATTAAAGTAATTAAATACTAAAATTATTAATTTTACTAATATATTATAACTTTACTTGCCTATAGATTATGTTGCATAATAAAGGAAAATTAAACAATAATTATATTATTGAATTTTATGGAATAACTCAGGATCCAGAAACAGAAATTATATGATGATTTTAGACTATGCAGAAGATGGAAGTCTACGAAATTATTTAGATAAATATTATAGTACATTAGATTGGAATAAAAAGATTGATTATTTATAAGAAACTATACTTGGACTTAAATATATTCATGAAAAGGAATTCATTCATCGAGATTTGCATATTGGTAACATATTAAAGCTTAAACATAATGCAGTTATAACTGACATGGGATTATGCAAACCTGCAAATTATGATGCATAAAAAATAAGGTATATGGTATTTTACTTTATATAGCTCCTGAAATTTTAAGAGGAAAAAATTATACCAAGGCTGCTGATATTTACAGTTTTGGTATAATTATGTATGAAGTAATTTCTGGATTACCATCATACCATAATATAAGCCATAATAAAAATTTAGCTATAGGAATTTGTCAAGGACTCAGACCAAGATTTAATATTAAAGTACCTCAATTAATTATATATTTGATTAAAAGGTGCTTAGATTCAGATCCATTAAAACGGCCAAAAGCAGAAGAAATTGAAAATATTTTATACACATGGAATTGTAAATTCAGAAATAAGTAAACAATAGAATTACAAACACAAATTAAAGAAGCAGATAATATTAACAAAAATTCATCAAATAGCAGTAAATCTTCAACTTGTTTAGGAATATCATATATGACGCATTCAGAAGCTATTTACACAAGAAGATTTCTCAATTTTAATAATCTTCCTGAACCAAACAATTCTGATGATTATTACGAACAGAATGATAATATAGTAAGCAAAGACTTTTCAGTTGTTAATTAATAATTTAATTTTTTTAAAAAATTGTTAAGGATACTAATGAAATTTTTATTTATTAAATAGAATCTTTAGAATCTTTTCGAATTAGCAATTGATCATTAATTAAAATGTAACTTTTTTTAGTTTATATATGAATTACTAATATTACTTTTTTATTCATATCTTCCATATCTAAACTAATGTATTAATTTATTTGTTGGTTGATTTTTTTTAGGTTCCGATGTAGAATTTAAAAGTATTGTATAAAAATCATAATATTAAGTAATTGACCAGCAATATTAATGACATTATAGTAATTATACATTAGCATTAACTTTTTTGAGTGTATTTAGAAATATAGTATTTTTTTTTTTGTTTTTATTTTAATTTTTTTAGTGAAAATTACGTTAAATAGAATTTTAAATTTTAGTGACCATATTTCGAAATTATGTACTTATTTATTTTATATTTTTGTTATAATAAAATTCATTGAAATTATTTCAAATATGATAAGATTTAAAAGTTTAAAAAATCTAACTTAAATAAAACTAGTAATTTCGCGATTAAAACTATTTGATTATATACATAGTAAATAAAAGGAAAGTTGAAATTTTCAGATTTTATATGATTTAATTTAGTAATTATCAAGCATATATTTGTATTTATTTATATTATTAATAAAGTATTATTTTGTTAAGCCTAAGGCAACGTGACTTATCACGGGCTTAGGTCTTACACTGGTTGATAATTTTGTCGAAATTTCAGACGTAAATCGATCATTTTAATATCTTAAATAAGTAGATGTACTGTCAAATAGTCAAATGGTGATATAAGAGTGTGAGTCATTAACGTTAATATTAGTAAATTCTTATTTATATAACTAGTACTACATTGAGTTTAAGATTGTTTTGGGTAAATAAGAATTGGAAATTTAGAATAAAAACAAAAACCTGAAAAACTTTCATTAATTACGTCATTATTTCACCAAATCTGCATATGACTATACTTTCTTTTTTTTGTTTTTTTTCTTTTTCGTATTGCTATTCTCAATAATCGTGCTACTCTGAGGATCCTTGTCGTAAAAGATAAATTATATTCATGAATTTTAAATTAAATATAAAATACTTAATAAATATTTTTATAGTTACCTTTTCTGTACTCCGTCCAGAAACATAATCACTAGAAATAGATGTTTTCACATCATCCACAAATTGCGGCGCTACTTGCGTATCATCCAAACTACCTGCAGTACCTGCAGACTGCGGCGCTTCTGGCTCTTCAATGAGTTCATCCCACCCACCTGTAGCTGTCGTTACTGGCGTTTCACCCCATCCACCTGCGGACTGCGGCGCTTCTGGCTCTTCACCCCATCCACCTGCAGACTGCAACGCTTCTGGCTCTTCACCCCATCCACCTGCTTCTGGTTCTTCAATGAGTTCACCCCATCCACCTGCAGACTGCGGCGCTACTGGCGTTTCACCCCATTCACCTGCAGAACCATCCAATGTGAAGTCCCATGCATCCTTCGTAGGTTTCTCCCATGTATACTTTAAATGCTCTTCAGTATTCCATGTATCTCTTACAAGTACTACTCTATCCCATGAACTATAATTTATAGGCGTCTTTTAAAATAAAGCAATAAAAATAAATTTTGATCATAAATTTCAAAATAACATATATATATATAAATATATTCGTGATAAAATTAAATCAATACCTTTCTTTCATTTATGATTTTAATCTGGGAAAAAATCTTTATACGTTATTAAAAAAAAAAAAATATCAAAATCAAAATTAATTAAAATTATTAATTGAACGTAAATTAATTTCTTAGTGAATTGAAAATTTTACCTTCTTTAACCTCTAAATATAATTTCATAAAATATTAATAAGCGATTCTTTAATCAAACTTAAAAAACATAAAATAAACTTCTTGATAAAATCATAAAAGTCATTAAAAATACCTGTCTATTCCTTCTAACACGACGTTTATTGGATCTGTTAAAAGGTACATGATTAAATATTTCTATCGATTTATTTATATTATGTTGAGAAGGATTAATTTCTTGAGATTTTGATATATTATTTAACTTGCTATCAGGGTGTAAATTTAAAAAGCTTTTTAATAAATCCATATATAATTCCTCTGGTATAATTTTCCTATAAGGTAATATATTATCCGAAAATTCTTTAGAAGTTAAATCATAAAATCTAATAAAAGGAATACATTGTTCTAAAGTATTCCTTAAATTATTAAAATCATCTTTTGAATAACTANGCGACCAAAACCACGACCAAAACCACGACTACAATTTTCACTGTCAATCTGGGAAAAAATCTTTATATGTGATTAAAAAAAAAAAAAGAAAAAAAAAATTCAAAATTAATTCAAAATATTAATTGGACGTAAATTAATTTCTTTGGAGAATTTGAAAAATTTACCTTCTTTAACCTCTAAATATAATTTCAAAAAAATATTAATAAGCGATTCATAAATCAAACTTAAAAAATAAAATATATTTCTTGATAAAATCATAAAAGTCATTAAAAATACCTGTCTATATCTTCTAACACGACGTTTATTAGTTCTGCTAAAAGGTGCAGGATTAAATATTTCTATCGATTTATTTATATTATGTTGAGAAGGATTAATTTCTTTAACCATATGAGGTTTTGATATATTTAATTTGCTATCAGGGTGTAAATTTAAAAAGCTTTGTAATAAATCCAAATATAATTCCTCTGGTATAATTTTCCTATAAGGTAATATATTATCCGAAAATTCTTTAGAAGTTAAATCATAAAATTTAATAAAAGGAATACATTGTTCTAAGGAAAAATCCGAATGGGTAAAAAAAAAAATCATTCACGATTAAAAAAAAAAAAATTATATGATTATAAAATGCATAAATAATATATTTTTTTTTAATACCTTAAAATTACTTGAAAAATTTCCGGCAAAATATTTGGTAATTCAATTCGTACTAAAGTTCCATCATAATTCTTCCATTTATTTTCAAATAAAATTTCTCGTAAATAAGGAGAACGATAATTTAATATGGCCATATGAGCACGAAATATTTTTGCGTGAGTTTTACCATCACCAACTTCAATCATAATATCGTAATATTCGCCATCATCTAAAACTTCAAGTAAATTTTGTGATAATTTTCGTAATAATTTATTACCATCCATTTTTTTTTTAAATATAAAAAAGAAAAAATGTCGTGAATGGGAACTTTATATATAAATTTAATGTTACCTAAAATTTGATCTTCACCAATTATATATTTTTTGCCTTAATTATGTCGGGAAATATTTTTCCTTTTTTTTTTGTGTAATACAAATTACGCAATCATTAAATAACAGTTAAGTCGTACAATATTGAGTCCTATTAATTTTCAACCGAGTGATACAAATTATTCGAAAATTTTATCAATTTGAAAATTTTTTTTTTAATGTACAGTACGTGTGACTTTATTTAACGTTGAATTCGTATAACGATAACATACAAATACCATTCGATAAATTGAACAAATAATTAATAGAAATATTTCAAAATAGGTTCATTCTTATATTCTAACATTGATACAAAAATACAAAATCAAACGAGTATATATCAAAATTGGTTCGGGTATTAACCTAATACGAAAATAACTTGAAATAATAGTCTAACATAAGGAAAAAGTTTATTTAAAATATATAAATAATTCACAAGAAATTACTGACGAATTTTTAAATAAGGTATTTGAATTTTTATTTATTTAAACTAAATACAATATAAGATTAATTTTTGATTTTTTGTATTTGATAGGTTAAATCATATTTCTAGTCTCCGGAATATCTCAAAATCCAGATACAAGAGATTATATTTTGGTCTTTAATAATAATTATATTAATCATTATTGTTTAAAATGTGAAAACAAATATGACGAGAATGCTTATAATAATTGGTGTAAATCACGTGAAATGAATCGTTTAAAAAATGATTTTGCAGACTGGACTAGTGGAAATGAGAAAATTGATGACTTCATCAAAAAGATGCAATTAAAACTCAATGAATATGGTGATATGATATTTGAATGGATACCATACAATAAGTTTATTGATGTTAAAGAAATAGAAAATAGTGTCTTTGCTACAGCAATATGGAAGGATGGACCATTATATTATAGCAAAATAAGAAGGAATTACAAAAGGGAATCAGATGAAAAGATTTTATTAAAATATCTATATAATTCACAAAATATTAATCACGCGTTTTTAAATGAGGCATGAAGTTTTTTTGAAAATTTAATTTAATTTAATTATTAATGAAAATAATATATTGATTTTATATTTTAATAGATCTTATATTCAGTTGAGGAAAGTTATGGAGTATCTCAAAATCCAAATACAAGAGATTTTGTTCTAGTTTTTATACTCATCACGGCGGATTTATGAAATACCCTAAATTTGTCCGTCATGTCAAATTAAATAAATATTTGACAGTCTTTCAGTCACCAAATTTCCCAAATTTATTAGTGAACGGTCAAAATGAGCCCTAAAAAATTTTTTGTACCCCAAATCTTGCGTCTAACCAATTTTTCCGTTACCTAACCAATTTTTCCAGTGTTAAAGGTGCGTCATATTTGACATTTTTTAGAAAAAAAGGCTTAATGTTTCTGTAAGTCAATTTTAATTCCCGAGGGCGCACCAGGGTTTTTGCCAAATTTCATAAATCCGCCGCAATGTAAATATTATTGTGAAAACTGTAGCAAAAAATACAATAATCAGTTTGAATTAAATAATAAAAGTTGTATGTCATGTCAAACAAATCATGAAAATAACAAAATTAGTGATTTAATTCAAGAAATAAAATTAAATATTGATCATAATTCTAGTGATTCTGGTATGATATTTGAATGGATACCATATGATCAGTTTAATGATATTAAAGAAATTGGTAAAGGTGGTTTCTCTACAGTATATTCGGTAATATGGAATGATGGTTTATTATCCTATTGTAATATAGGACCTGGAATGAGTCTTGATTATAAATGGAAAAGAGAATCAAATACAAAAGTTGCTTTAAAATGTTTACATAATTCACAAAATTTCCTTGGTGAATTTATAAATGAGGTATGAAATTTCTTTATAATTTAAAAATCCAACTACAAATGATTATATTATGGTTATTGAATATGCAGAAGGTGGAGATTTCAATAGTTATTTAAATAAAAAGTATGAAGTTTTTGATTGATTTAATGAATTAAGTGTATTAACTAATACTATTGAAGGACTTAATAAAATTCATCAAAAACTAGAGATGGTCAGTCGGTCCTGCGGTCTTTGATCGGTCCTGATCGGTCTTTAGGAAATTTTTGGAAAAGTAATAAGGCTGTGCTTCCAATTTTTTGTAGCACAACAGAACTGATTAAAGACCAAAAAGTGGTAAATTTTGGTCTCAATCTAATCACTCTCTTATACACATCTAGATGTGTATAAGAGACAGTAATTATATGATGGTTCTGAATGATAGATGTAAAAAATGTAATTGTACATGTAATGCAATTTATTTTCAACCAAAATTTTGTAAACTGGACTAGTGGTAATAAAATNAAAATTCAAGGGTGCATTCCTTATAACTTTCCCAAAGACCGGGCAGGACCGTCCAGGACCGAAAGACCGACTGACCATCCTTATCAAAAACAGATGGTTCATCGTGATTTTCATATTGGAAATATATTATTTACAAAATTTACAAAATTTGATCAGTATCATAATGAAAATAATGAGTCTATTGATTATGTTGCATGTATTTCTGATATGGGAGTAAAAAAATTGATGATAAGTATTTATGGAGTTATACCTTATATAGCTCCTGAAGTATTAAAAGGAAAACCTTATACTCAAGCAGCAGATATATATAGCTTTGGTATGATTATGTATGTTATAGCAACTAGAAGGCAACCTTTTGATGATTGTGCCCATGATGGGGTTCTGGCATTAAAAATATGTAATGGAATTAGACCTGAAATAAACGACAAAATTGCACCATAATGTTATATCGACTTAATTAATGAAAAGATGTTGGGATTCAAATCCAGATAATAAACCAAATTCAATTTAATTAAAAGAATTTATTGGCCGATTTTATAATTCATTAAATCCTCACATTTTGTATAAAATGCAAATAACTTTGATAGTTAAATAATTCAGTATAAATTATAGGTACAAAATTAGATATGACAAATTTTATGATATTTAATTATTTCTGCGTATTTTAACCATTTAAATAACAAACCGTTTTAAAAAAAAAACATTTTGCTTTTATATCCCACCTGAGTGAGTTTGTATTGTTGCATTATACCTCATGTCTCTTTATGTCATCTAATAACAAAATATCAAAGTAATTTCTTATCTCATATACAGATCTTTACCTATTTAACCTATTTAAAAGGGTGTTTGACAAGTTTTTATTGCGTGTTACTCCATACTATAGTAAGTTTTTTTATTAAATAAAATAATAATAATACTTTACATCATGTTAATTATGAGATTAGAGATTAGATGTATGAGTAATAATACAAACTAACATATTTTATCAATACGCAGTATATTACAATCAGTACATGATTAATAAGAAATAGACTTCAGTATACCTTTTTTTATTGTCCGAAACGTAAGTATAGTACACACTACAACTCCAACTAGGAAATATTATATTTTAGGTTCTTGTGTAACTATCAAAATGTCATTTTTGTTATGTATATCACGCGTGTTTAATTTATTTACACTAGTACACTCAAGAGCTGAGTTTATTTTTTCAGTAATGTATACATACAATACTAAAACTACTGTTAAACTATATATCAAAAATAAATTTAGCTTGAATAAAATTTAATAAATTTATTTTAATTAACAAAAATAAAAACTTTAATAATATAGGAATATTACACAATATCATAATATGTAATTAATTATGCAAGTATATTTAAGTTAATTATATGGTTTATAGGGAATAAATCATATTAGTAACTATGTATTATAAGCCACAATTATACATATTAGTCATCATTAAATCAATTAATATTACTAGTTTAGGTTAAATAACTTATAAATTAATTGTGACTCATAGATAATCTTGATTTTTTTTATCTATTTTATTATTAATCACTATGTATCTATGTATTCAAAGGGTTTTTAAAAATATATATATACCCTTAAATTTCCTCAAGGAAAAAATCAAAAAACAGATTTTCAAATATCAATATCAACTGTACCAAATCAAAATTTCTTTCAAATAACAAATTTTACAATTTAATATTTCAATTTGAAACCTCTCACCATCTATCATTACTTCAATATCTACCATTGCTCTATTACATTCTTTTTATTATTATTCTCATAAATACCTATATCCTCAACAACATAATTGTCTCAATTTTTATTTCATTAAAATTCTTAACTACTTTCATTCTTAAACTTCTCCTTCTATCTTGAACCTGCCTTTTCTGCATGACAACAGTCAAGATAAAAAATAAGATCAAGATGATAATCTTCTTCATTGATACTGGGTCCTCAGTGACCTATATCAGCGAGGAAGTGTTATGCTCATTTAGAATTGAATTAGCAGATCCCTTAAATGATAGTTTTCATGTTAGCATAAATAATAAGGGAGCTTGGGTAAAGATGTCGCATGCGCACTTTAAAGATATTTGCATTTTAGGAATGTCATTCCTAACTTCAAATAAAGTAGGTCTCCACGCATTTTCTAACATATTTCACTATTTTAAAAATTTATTACTATCTATAACCCTCATTCTGGTGAAGGTGAACAAGTGGATGCAATGATCAAGGAAGTTATGGCAACCTTGTTCTGCTAAACAGAAAATTAGGTTTCATTTTATTTCCTTCAAGCTTTTGTTTAATATCAACTTTGTTAAAAACACCAACAACTTCTTTGACAACATTAACATGCCAAAGTTCCAGTTCAGAAGCATTGTCAGCAAATTTAAGATTTTTTTTCTTCATGTTTCCAGATATACTTCTTGAGGATATCGATAGTTAACGATTCTATGAAGTACTCTTCTTTTTCAATAGAAATTTTATCGCTAAGAGGGATCGAGAAAATAGTTCCTTTACCTAAGACATAACAACTTAATAACATTTAACTATATTTCTGCAATTGCGAAAACTGAGAATTAAAAAAATAAAATTAATTTCAGTAAGAAAAAAAGGAATGTAGGCGTAAAAGAGGGTGTAGGATTTTTGCTGAATGCACCAGGAACTTCCGTATCGGAAATTGATACTTTGCCAAATGCTGGACTTATAGTGAGAAAAGAAACTATTCAAAAAAAAAGATTCAGCTAGCTGATTTACATCAGAAACTGAAACTGTCAAAGATTATATTATTGACAACGTATTTTTTTATATTTCTACATCTTAATAAAAATTATTTTAATATTTTTAATATTACCGATTGTTTAAAATTAACTCCATTTTTTATTTTTTTGTGAAGAAAATATTTTAGTTGCCCCTATGGATTATCCTGGACAGAAAAATGTAGTTTTGGATTTTTATCCAATAATTTTTCGGAAGTGGTTGTTGGGAAGTTTACGAAGAAGCAATGCTTCGTATGTGGAAAATTTTTATCGATACCGCCGCCATTAGCATTTCTTAGTGACGTTTTTTATTGGCAGAAATTATCAAAAGTTCTCTTCATATCTTTAATGATTATTATATTATGTAGAAAACTTTCACAGTTGTATTAGACATCAAACAAATAATTTTAATACTTCTCAACAAATTATTAATCAAACAAAAATAATTGACCAGATGCGTGATAATTAGGGATGGTAAAGTCCTAGGTCCTGGACCTAAAGACCTGGTCCTAGGACCTGGTCTGCAGATCTTTAGGTCCAAATTTTGGACCAGAAGCGGACCAGGTCCTAAAAAGTCCTAGCCAATAAGGTTATAAGAGACCTATATGTTTAAATTATATATGTATAATTTGCTGTAAATTTGATTTTAAGTAATTATAAATTATAAAAAAGTGCACTGCAATATTGCAATACAATTTTTATATTATTAAAATCATATAAAAAATGAGTTGCGATATTGCGATTCACATTTTTATATTAAAATCAATATAAAAAAGTGAATCGCGATACCGCAACTCACTTTTTTTATATAAAATCAATATAAAAAAGTGAATCCCGATACCGCAACTCACTTTTTTTATATTTAATTATTACTAAAATTCATAAAATCTATAAATAACTTAGTCAGGACCAGGTCCTGGGACCAGGTCCAGGACTGGTCCTAACAGGACCTGGTCCGCAGGTTCGTTCAATAGGACTTATAGGTCCCAGGACCAGGACCGGACCAGGACCGACCTAACCATCCCTAGTGATAATTACTCCTTTACCGAAGTTTTTTCAAAAATCATAACATTGTTTACACAGAAAAGCAGTTAAAAGTTTCTGGAAAAAAAAGTTTGCGATTTTCCTTTTAGATTAAATAACTTTGTAATGGTATTAATAAAGATAATTGCAAGATATTCCAGGCAAGTTTAGAGGATAATGATGATAATGTAGTTGTTTTCGCTGATGAAGATATAAATAGAAATTGGAGGAGGCATTAAACTCATTTAAATTATGTCAATAATATAATTTGGAGCTAATTAAGGTTAATTTAATGGTTGATTTTATAATTAAGTTTACGTTAAATTTATTTTATTTACGTTTAACTTCACCGTAAAATATTATAATTTAAAATTTATTTTTTTAATATTTATATTTGTTTTTATTTGCTTGATTTAACACTTAAATTTATTAATGTCTTGATGGTTCTTACAATTATTATAACTATTGATAAAAATTTAATTTAATTAGCGAATTTTGTAAAATGTGACAAAACGACAAAATGATCGACAAAATGATCGACATTTATATGAAAGACCGCTATGCTGAGTCCAGTCTGAAAGAGCTTCCAAATACGTTAATTAAAACTCTTAATAAGTTTTATGTATTAAGTTTTATTAGTCCGAAGAGGAGTAATCTCGCGATGATTCTTCACGTGATTAACTACCAGCAAAATATTTACCTAGTATCAGTGAAATAAACGTGAACGTGAAAATAGTATTAATGAGAAATGTATTTAGGGAACATGGCAACTCTTGAATAAGAGGAAGTCGGATGCACAAACCACCTTTTCCCCTTCTTCCTTCTCTTAGTAGGCCATTCTTCGGCTTTCTGTCGCTCAATAGCCGATATCTTGCATACCGGTCTCGTTTTAATTTTCGATTTTCTATATAAAAAGAATTATCGTTAACATTTTTACTAATGATTGTCAGAATAAAATACAAATCACCAAATCAACATCGATATCTTCTTCTTCTTCCTCTTTCTCTGACGATTTGCCGTTACTTAAAATTTTGATATATTTCGACGGGAGCCGAATATTCCTAACTGGTCGAAATAGGTCCAGTTCGGCCAGCCGTATCACCGTCACTTTAAAATAGAATGTCCTTTGACTACGCTCTGGACAATAATTTTTTTGATTGACGAATCATTATAATAAAAATGGAACATTTTGTTGATTTCTATGTAGAATTTAACGTATGTGAGAAATATTCCTTATTAAAAAAATAGATACGGAAATATATGGTTATAAATTCTGTATACTTTCCTTATTTCCATATATTTTAGTATAAACTTACATGAAATTGAAACAAATAAATCTTGAACGCATTGAGTACTCGGAATATTTAAAACTTGAATAATATGCATATCTTTACTATGTATATCTTTGCCATAATTAGATTTCATTAGTTTAAAATTGCGCTAAATCATTAAAACATGTAACAGAGTAACACTGTGACACATGATTAATTGGCGTAATTGTGCGACAATATCGGCAAAAAATCGATATAATTTACCCAATTCGACAAAATAAAAATTTGTTAACTCCCCTTTTTTCACTTTCAAAAATTTACAAATATGACATGTTCAAAAATATTTTCAGGAGATTTACCTGAATTAACTTATGGAGTTATAAAATATTTTCAAAATGATCATTCAACTTTATATTCGTGCACTTTAATCAACAGATTATGGTGTCGTTTAGCGATCCCATTATTGTGGGAAAATCCTTTTTCATCACGTACCGGAAACTATAATTTTATTGAAATTTACTTACATAATATAACTGATGATATTAAGACGGAATTAAATGAATGTAAAATTATTAATAATTCATTACCTTCGAATACCCTGTTCAATTATCTCAAGTTTTTAAAATATTTGAATACATTTAAGTTTATTATCTCTGTTGAAAAGTGGGTTGAAACTGCTATTAAACCTTTAAACCCCGAATATAGAGCATCTGATATTAGAAAATTGATTAATATATCATTATTTAAAATTTTTATTGAAAATGAAGTAAATTTACATACTCTTGAAATTGAGATCTCAGGTAATTATTATTACCCGTGTCTTAATACTATACTTGGGTTAATTTTAAAAAGTATAAATTTCATTCACAATATTAGAAATTTAAACCTTTATATTAATACTTCAGGTGTTCTCAAAAACGACAATAATGATTATATATTTCAAATAATTAATTTACATCAAAATCTTAAAAGAATTTTCTTACGTCATAATAATTTTCCTTTATATCAATCATTATTATTATCAAAAGATTATAATTGTTCAAATACTTTAAATACAATCATTTTTTATTGTGTTGATTTTAACAGTATAACCAATTTAAATAGAATTTTTGAACGACTAAATGTTTTAGAATCAGTTCATATCATTAAATGTACTTCTTTAAATAATGATTTTACTAAACAAATTATTAATTTAACTAAATCATTTAAATTGAAATCTTTATTTATAAACGAATTATTACAAATTGAATCATTACAATTATTATTACAAAAATTCGGTGATTATTTAGAAAATTTTGGGTATGAATTTGGATTTATACCTAATTCATCATCAAAACAAAAAATATTAGAATTAATTATAAAATATTGTAAAAATATCAAATATCTTGACTTAATTGGAAATGATGATCAAATTATTTATCCAGTATTATATTTAATTGAAAGTATTAAACAAAATCTTAATCATCTTTCAATCAGTACATCATATGACAGTAATGGATGTAGTTCAATTATATTACAAAATTTAGGTCAACATATTCCTTATAAATTAGAATATTTACATTTATTTCTTCATCATATTAAAATAATTGATTTTGAAGTATTTCTAAAAAATTCTCAAAATACTTTTATTAAGAAATTATTAATCTATAGTATTGAAGGTCAAGATATTTTACCTTCTATAAAAAAATATATCTTAAAAAAGAAAAGAGTTGAGTATTTATCTTTCTTTATAACTCCATTATATGATCTTAGAGGTCATAGTAGTGATTTATCTTCATTTAACAATGAAGTGAAAGAATTTGGGTTGTATAATATTAAAGTGCAAAGTTATTCTAGCTTAGTGATTCGTACAAGTGATTTTATAAAAGGAAATTAATTAGTAGTAAACACATAAAATGAAATATTAAAGAATACATGTATTTATTATGAAAATAAACTAAATATTTTTGATTCCAAGAATTTCTCCCTAGTCGAGCTTTTTTTAAAACGAATAGCGCAATAAAATTAACAAACGATGATTTATTACAGGGTATTAATAAAAGTGGGGGATCATGAATAGCATTTACCTTAAGATGTAACAGATGTTCATTTTGTGAATTTAAGCAAAACCATGCTTCGCCCTATAAGTTATAAATGATATGCAAATTTGTTAAAAAATGTGTCAAATAACTAATTTCCTCAATATTGGAAAAATTAAATTCGTCGTAATGTAATTAGAAATCACATTTATTGTAAAATTTTCAAATTTTCAAATATTTATGGTAAAATATCATTAAAAACTATATTTGGTATCATATAAAGTGCATTATCGAATTTTTTCTTGTATACAAAATTTTCAATATAGGTAATAATTTATTGAAGGAATATATATAATTTCTTGAAGTGGAATTCTCTTTATTGAATTTTTCTTAAATACCGACCTACCTACCATTTGATAGGAAATAATCAAGCTTCGATATATTGATAAGATTTTAAATCTGAAATATTTACTCGTAACCTTGTAAGAACAGTTCATAAAAATTAATTATAACTATGAAGTTGCTGTTGTTAGATTTAAGCATCTAAAAATTATCATATTTTTTATATGAAAAAATCTGTCATATGTTTATCGCTTAAACGCTATTGTATAGTTTTTAACTGCTTCACAACTGAACTTAGTAACTAAGAAGAGACATAATTCCTTTGGCCTTACGGCATAATTAAAGAGCGTAAAAATTTTGGCTTTTAGGGCCTGTTTTGTAAATTTCATTAACCTGCATCATTCTGTCATAATTTACTTACTATATATTAAGAAAGAAGATACAAAATTTGTTCTATTTACAAATGTTAAATTATTATTTAAATAAAGCTAGTATTATTGTCAAAGTAATGTGCAGTATCTATCAGGAAATGATGTTCGTATTATGTTACGTTAATATGATTACATCGTACTTCAATGAAGAGTTTAATAAGTACAATATTACAATATTTACCTGATAATCAATCTATCCGTTGAATGAGGCACGATGGCTTAAAATTTAACCTAGTAATTATAATGAACTCTTATGCAAGTTTACATTGTAGTGTCTGTAAAAGAAAGCATGATTTAATTGAAAGTAAATTGTAATATAGAGTTTATTTTATTATAAAGTTTACTGAAACTTGACAATATTATTTAAAATATGTTATATTTTTAGTTTTACTAAGCGACGAATAAAGAATTGTGGCGCAACTATTTTGTGCGGTTTTCAAAATATTTTGCGAAAAAGCATGTGAAATCAATAATTATTATGGCTAACAAAACGTTTTTGATATGAACATGAATAAACTTTAAGGTGATTTCATCAAATAATTTTCTACAATTTTTTTAAAAAAAAATTTTCGTAATTCTTTACTTTATGTATAATATTATTAAAAAAAAAATTCCCTTATAATTACTTCACCTAAAAACTTCAAATATGAAAATTCTTATATATATTTGAAAATAGAATCATAATATAAAAAGTCGATCTATTTTCTATATTCCACGTAAAAGGCTCATTTTTATGGAGTTTTTGTATAAAATTTTGTATAGGGAAAGTAGGTCCATTATTTTTTCCCTGTTATTTTGAATTCTGAACAATAGGAAAAACGAAGACAATCCAGACATGATAATATCATTAAAAAAAAAAGAGTAAAAAATACACTACTAGCAACTAGTAATTAGTAAGTAAACATGAGATTTTATTTGTCGATAATCAAAATATACATATTATTGTTGAAATCAATATATTATACTGTATATCTAGTAAATATAGCAAATAATAATTATTCTGTATCTGCATCACGATTAATATGTGTTTATAATTGTTGCTGCATCCGCATCATGTTGGCGGTCCGCCCCCGATTGGGGGTATTGGAGCGTCTAAAGTTGGTGCTGCGTCTGCGTCCCGTTTATATTCAACCGGTGCTGCGTCTGCGTCCCGTTTAAATCCAACCCCCGGTGCTGCGTCTGCGTCTCGTTTAAATGCAACTGCCGGTGCTGCGTCTGCGTCCCGTTTATAATTAAACGGTGCTGCGTCTGAGTCAATAATGAATTTAAATTATCAAATTTTCATTAAAAGATTCTTTAATATTAATAAAGTAAGATGATGATTTATTTACCCGCTAAAACAATGGTAATGACGAAAATCAACAAAAAGTATTTGAATTTCATTATTGCGTTATATATAATTTTTAATTCGTTATTTATTAATGCGTTTAAAGAAATTTCTCTCTACTTTCTCAAAGTATTTATATAAGAAAATTTTTTTATAATAACATATATTCCAAATTATTTAAAGGCGAGCGAAGTAAAGGAGGCGTACAAGAGTATTTTGCCACGTTTTTCTATATTGTGCCATGGCTATGTTAAAATTCATGAGGAAATGCGAGATTTTGATGTTAATAATTATTTTTTAGCCGTAATCATTTGCAAAATTGTTGTTTTATTAACGAGGGTGAAACAAAAGAGACGCATGAGAGTATTCTTGCCACGTTTTTTTTTACATTGCGCCACAATCGGAACAAACAGTGCCACTTTGAATTAATAATGCGGAAACAGATGATTTCTATTTTTTTAAAAGAATAAATAAATAAATAAATAAGGAAAGTATGACCTATTTCTTTTATCTGATCATTCACAGCCACATAATCATTAAAAAATAAAAGGTTATTGGACAATTTAATCATTTCAATACGTAATTTGTCAAAAGTACTTTGACGAACTACCTTTTCCATATTGAATTTTGCTTCTAGCATCGAATTTGGAAAGTTATTGACATTTTGGAGCTATAGGCAGAACTCATTTTGTTTTTTCACAAGGAAAAAAAGATACGCTTTACACTGTCAATTCTTAATATAGCGCTTATCATTTATCATTGATTTGAATTGTGTAACATGGAAATACGTGGCATGTCTGCGCCTGATCTATTCTGTGTTTATTGTAATTAAAACTAGAATTTACTGACATTTTAAAGACAACGGCAAACCATTTTTTATGACAACTAAATTATTTCTAACATTTGAAAAAAATGGTACCTCAAAGGATTTTACGGTATATACCACATTGTCACCGAAACTTGACAATTCTCAACAAACTAAAATAATTTTAGCAGCACATAAAATATCAAAATTTTATAATGTATTATTAGATATTTGAATAATATATTTTCAATTATAAATCTCTTATGTGTAAATAAACCTGAAAAAAAACTAGACGAATAATTCTATGCGCTTCGCTAATTTGGCTTCTAACGCTTTATTTTACCACAAAAATAGTTAATTACATGACCTAAATTCAGAAAATGTTTAATTAAATAAAAATACATCGGCCTTCAAAAAAATTCTTATTCCAAATTTATGTAATATTTATTGCAGCCCTATAAAAAATATGTATACGGAAAGGATACGTTTTGTATACATTTTATGTACGTTTCTATAGATTCCGTATACAAATTCCGTATATTTAATAAGTAATTCATTTTTGAACATTTTTTTAAAAAACTAATGTATAAGAAATGTATACGGAAAAAATTAATCATGCGGAATGTATACGGAATTTTTAAACTTAATATTTTTAGAAGATAATTTTACAAAAATTCCGTATCATAACACGAGATCACATGATTGTTTATTGTTTTGTTATGATACGTTTTTTGTTTTTTTATATAAACCCTTACTTTG